TGGGCGCGGTGGCTCATGCCTGTAATTCTAGCACTTTGGGAGGCCGAGGCAGATGGATTGCTTGAGGTTGGGAGTTCAAGACCAGCCTGGCCAACATGGTGAAACCCCGTTTGTATTAAAAATACAATTAGCTGGGTGTGGTGGCACACGTTTGTAGTCCCAGCTACTTGGGAGGCTGAGGCAGGAGGATCACTTGAACCCGGGAGGCAGAGGTTGCAGTGAGCCAAGATCGTGCCACTGTACTCCAGCCTAGGCAACAGAGAGAAACTCCATCAAAACAAAACAAAACAAAACAAAAACCTATTTTTTAGCCAGGGTCTCATTCTGTCACTCAGGCTGCTGAGTGCCAGGGGTGCATGGCTCACTGCAGCCTTGAATTCCTGGGCTCAAGCAATCCTCCCACCTCACTCAGCCTCCCAAGTAGCTGAAACCACAGATGCTGGAAGCCACGCCTAATATGTTTTATTTTTTGTTGACATGGGGAAGAGTTTCACTTTGTTACCCAGGCTGGTCTGAACTCCTGACTCTTGGAGTCAAGCAACCTCCTCCTGCCTTGGCTTCCCAAAATTCTGGGTTACAGGCACCTGTCACAGTGCCAGACTATTAGCTCATTAATATTTATATGTTGATTACATGTTGAAGTGATAATATTTTGGATCATTTGGGTTAAATATATTACTAAGATTAATTGCTGGCCAGGCACAGTGGCTCACGCCTGGGTGGACAGGGTGAGACTCCGTCTCAAAAAAAAAAAAAAATTTATTCTGTTTGAATTTACCATGAGTCAATTTTTAAAATGAAAAGACAAAAAAAAAAAATTCTTTTTTCGAGATAGAGTCTTGCCCTGTCACCCAGGCTGGAGTGCAGTGGCACGATCTTGGCTCCCTGCAACCTCCACCTCCCAGGTTCAAGCAATTTTCCTGCCTCAGCCTCCCGAGTAGCTGGGACTACAGGTGCATGCAGCCACGCCCGGATAATTTTTTGTATTTTTAGTAGAGATGGGGTTTCCCCGTGTTAGCCAGGATGCTCTCGATCTCCTGACCTCGTAATCTGCCTGCTTCATCCTCCCAAAGTGCTGGGATTACAGGCGTGAGCCACCACGTCTGTCTCCTTGGTTTTTTTTTTTTCCTGAGGTGGAGTCTTGCTCTGTTGCCCAGGTGGAAGTGTCAAACAACCTTTAAATGACTCTGGTCACCTCCTGGATGAAGTCCAAACTCTCCTTAGCTTAGGGAATAGACCTTTAAATAGATTCCTTCCATCCACCAACACCCCAGCCAACCTGCATTCTCTAGACCTGAAGTGTGGTTCTGTGCGTAAAAACCATCTCTTACTCCAAGGCCCATCCCAGATGGCCTCTGTTATCAGGATTCCTCAGCCTCTGCACTCCTCACATTGTGGTCTGGATCATTCTTTTTTGAAGGGCAGGGAGAGACTGTCCTGTGTTGTATAGAATGTTTAGGGGCATCTCTGTCCTCTGTCCACTAGATACCAGTAGCGGTCCCCCTTCCCCAGTTGTGACAACTAAAAATGCCTTCAGACATTGCCAAATGTTTCCTTGTGAGCAAAATCGCCCTTGTATAAGGAGCACTGTGCCATGCAAGCCAGCTGGTCCCTTCTGCTCCTACTCTACTTTGTTGTAACAGGCATGGTGGCATTTATCACAGAGGCCACAGTGAACTACATCTGGTTTTTCCTGTCCTCACTGCTGACAACTGCCTTGAGGGAGGGACCAGATTTTACCAATGGCTGAAATCATATTCAAATCTCTATTTCTACCACTTACTTGCTGTGTGACCTTAGGCCTATGACTTGGTTTCTCTGGGCCTGTTTCCTCATCTGTAATAACAGCTCCTACCCCAGAAGGCTGTTACTAAGTGCCTGGCATGTACAATGGGCAGGCCGTGGTGAGGGTTGGATAGATACTAGCTTTTTTTTTTTTTTTTTTTTTGAAACAGAGTCTTGCTCTGTCACCCAGGCTGGAGTGCAGTGGTATGATCTCGGCTCATTGCAACCTCTGCCTCCCGGGTTCAAGTGATTCTCCTGCCTCAGCCTCCTGAGTAGCTGGGATTACAGGTGCCTAGCACCACATCCAGCTAATTTTTTTTTTTTTAATTTTTTTTAAAAGATGAGGTTTCACCATGTCGGTCAGGCTGGTCTTGAACTCCCGACCTCCGGTGATCTGCCCGCCTTGGCCTCCAAAGTGCTTGGATTACAGGCGTGAGCTGCCACACCCAGCCATTTTTGTTTGTTTATTTTTGAGATGGAGTCTACCCTGTCACCCAGGCTGGAGTGCAATAGCACGATCTTGGCTCGCTGTAACCTCTACCTCCCAGGTTCAAGCGAGTCTCCTGCCTCAGCCTCCTGAGTAGCTGGGACTACAGGCTCATGCCACCAACCCCAGCTAATTTTTGTATTTTTAGTAGAGATGGGGTTTCACCATGTTGGCCAGGATGGTCTTGATCTCTTGACCTCGTGATCCGCCTGCCTCAGCCTCCCAAAGTGCTGGGATTACAGGCATGAGCCACCGTGCCCAGCCAGATATTAGCTCTTATTGTTAATAAATGCCCTGAAGTGCCACTAATGTTACTAGAAGAGTCTGCCCAAGGTATAGTGGGGGCCACCAGAACACCAGTTCCCCCTGTTCTGCCACGTTCATGTTTACAGGAGGAGTGGTCAAAGACTTCAAGGAGGAGGTGTCACCTGATGCAGGCCTCACAGAAGTGTGAGAAGTGTGCCCTGGGCAGCCAGTGCCTGACTTGAAGTAAAAGTTTAAAAAATGTACAAATGACATGGAGATCCCATGGGACTAGGTTTGGGACACAGCAGTCCCTGTTTCTGCTAGCATGGCCTTTCTTTTTTCTTTCCTTTTTTTTTGAGACAGAGTCTTGCTCTGTCACCAGGCACCAGGCTGAAGCGCAGTGGCGACATCTTGGCTCACTGCAACCTCTGCCTCCCGGGTTCAAGCAATTCTCCTGCCTCAGCCTCCTGAAGTAGCTGGGACTAGAGGTGCGCGCCACCATGCCCAGCTAATTTTTGTATTTTAATAGAGATGGGGTTTCACCATATTGGCCAGGATGGTCTCGATCTTTTGACCTTTTGATCCGCCCGCCTCGGCCTCCCAGAGTGCTGGGAACACAGGCATGAGCCACCATGCCCAGCCTCCTTTTTCTTTCCTTTTTTCGGAGACAGTCTTGCTCTGTTGCCCAGGCTGGAGTGCAGTGGTGCAATCTTGGCTCACTGCAACCTCCGCCTCCTGGGTTCAAGCGATTATCCTGTCTCAGGCTCCCAAATAGTTGTGACTACAGGCATGTGCCACCATGCCCAGCTAATTTTTATATTTTTAGTAGAGATGCGGTTTTACCATGTTGGCCAGGCTGGTTTTGGATTCCTGGCCTCAAGTGATCCACCTCCCATGGCCTCCCAATGTGCTGGGATTACAGGCCTGAGCCACCATGCCTAGCCAGCATAGCCTTTCTTAAAGGCTCTTAAAAGAGGACTCTTGGCTGGATGCAGTGGCTCACACCTGTAATCCCAGCACTCTGGAAGGCAGAGGTGGGCAGATCACGTGGTCAGGAGTTCGAGACCAGTCTGACCAACATGGTGAAACCTCATCCCTATTAAAAATATTTTTTAAATTAGCTGGGTGTGGTGGCACGCATCTGCAATCCCAGCTACTCAGGAGGCTGAGGCAGGAGAATCGCTTGAACCTGGGAGGCGGAGGTTGCAGTGAGCCAAGATCATACCACTGCTCTCCAGCCTGGGTGGCAGAGCAAGACTCTGTCTTTAAAAAAAAAAAAAAAGAGGGCTTTTAAAACCCCTCCCTATAGACACTCATACCAACTCACACGCACACCCACTCGTCCAGAGCATCTTCCCTTCAGTGGTTTAAATGACCTTTAATAGAAACTCTCCAGTTTCTGACAGTTTGTCCCTCTGTCCAGAGGCATCCAGGACAGGATGACCCAGTGCAGTGTGTGGATCTGTCATTCCCCTCCCCCCAGGCAAGTGGAGGATTCAGCTGTGCACAGATGCCTCTTCTGTCTCCCAAAAGGTTCTCTGGAGTCACCATCTCCAGCGGACTACGGTTTGCTCTCATGACCAGCCATGGAGTCAGAAGTCCCAGACTCAGTGCGGCCACTTGGGTGTCATCCAGGTGTCTTTATCCCAAAACTTGAAGCAGAAGTCCCTGGTGCTACAGCTGTGCCTGGGAGAAGCTCTGGCCGTGGCTTCTCACCCAGAGAGTCTTTCTGGGCAACTTAGGGAAGCCCCTGTTCTGTCAAGTCTCACCCCATGGAAGAGGTGGAGGTAGGGGGATGTGGTTTTTCAGGAAGACAGGTTGGAGAGGACGAGTCACTACAAAGCAGTAAAAGTGAATGGTGTCTCCAAGTGCTGGGTCCAGAGCACCACGGAGAGCCCCAGCCATGGAGGTGTGTCCCGCCTTTAGTCTGCAGGAATCTCTCTGATTGGTGGTTCCAAGAGCAATGGAAGTCAAGAGCCAGGAGGCTGGACTGGGTTCCCTGGGACTCCAAGATCCCAGAGGCTGCTGAGCAGTGGTTGTTGGCAAGGAAGAAAGGTCCCAGGGGGCCAGGCCTGGCCAATTAGGGATCGACAAAGGAGACTGCGATGTAGCGGGTGCCCCTGGTGGTGGGGAGCCCCTCGTGGTAATGTGTGAGTCGTCCAGGGTGCATGAGGGTCCAGCCCTTTCTCGGGGCTCGGACGGAGCAGTTGTATCGCAGGAACCGACAGCCCCCGCCCTGGGGGACAGAAAGCATCAGTGCCCTTTCCCCGCTGCCCCCTGCCTGTCTGTTCTCCAGTATGTCACGGCCAAGTGGCCCTCAGCACTGCTGGCCTGGGGATGCCACAAGCTGCCTAAGGAAGACACTAAATAAAGAGTAGAGGCCGGGCACAGTGGCCATGCCTATAATCCCAGCACTTTGGAAGGCCAAGGTGGGTGGATCACCTGAGGTCAGGAGTTCAAGACCAGCCTGGGCAACATGGTAAAACCCATCTGTACTAAAAATACAAAAACCAGCTGGGCATAGCGGTGTGCACCTGTAATCCCAGCTATTCGGGAGGCTGAGGCAGAATCACTTGAACCTGGGAGGCAGAGGCTGCAGTGAGCCCTGAGATCATGCCACTACACTCCTGCCTGGGCACCTGGGTGACAGAATAAGACTCTGTCTCAAAAACAAAGAATAAATGATCAAGAGCTCTGGCTTTGGAGTCAGGCAGCCCTGGGCAAATGTCACCTCCATTCTCTTTTCTTTTTCTGAGACCGAGTCTCACTCTGTTGCCAGGCTGGAGTGCAGTGGCATGATCTCGGCTCACTGCAACCTCCACCTCCCAGGTTCAAGTGATTCTCATGCCTCAGCCTCCTGAGTAGCTGGGATCACAGGCACGCACCACTGCACTCAGCTAATTTTTTGTATTTTTAATAGAGACAGGGTTTCACCAGGTTGGCCAGGATGGTTTCGATCTCCTGACCTTGTGATCTACCCGCCTCAGCCTCGCAAAGTGCTGGGATTACAGGCGTGAGGTACCGCACCCGGCCACCCCAACTCTTGACTAACTGTGAGCAACCTGAGCTTCAGTTTCCCCTTCTGTAAAATGGGGGTTAAACAGAACAGGGTTGTGAGAAACATGTTACAAATAAGAGCTGAGGACTGAGTTTCCCAGCCTCACCACTATAGACACTTAGCTGTGGAAGCTGCCCTGGGTACTGCTGACTTCTACCCAGTAGATGCCAGCAGCCCCTCACAGCCATAACCACCAAATCTGTCTCCAGTGTCCCTTGGAGGGCACAATTGCTCCTGGTTGAGAATCCTTGGATCAGGGATGCCTGATATGTTGTAAGCTCAAAAAATTATAGCTCCAGCCTCAGCAACATAGTAAAACCCCATCTCTGCAAACAAGAAAAAAAACTAGATGGGCAAGGTGGCGCACACCTGTGGTCCCAACTACTTGGGAGGCTGAGGTGGGAGGATTGCTTGGGCCCAGGAGGTGGAGGCTGCAGTGAACTGTGATCCTGCCACTGCACTCCAGCCTGGGTGACAGAGCGAGACCCTGTCTCAAAAAAAAAAAAAAAAGAAAAAGATTATAGCTGTTTTTATGAGTGTTCTTCATAGCGCCCAGCCCAGGGCTAAGTCAAAAAAACCTCTTTTTTGTTTTTAGGAGACAGAGTCTCACTCTGTTGCCCAGGCTGGAGTGCAGTGTCACGATATTGGCTCACTACAACCTCCACCTCTTGGGTTCAAGTAATTCTCCTGCCTCAGCCTCCCTAGTAGCTGGGACTACAGGCAGATGCCACCACGCCCAGCTAATTTTTGTATTTTTAGTAGAGATGGGGTTTCCTCATGTTGGCCAGGCTGATCTCAAACTCCTGGACTCAAGTGATCTGCCTGCCTCGGCCTCCCAAACTGCTGGGATTACAGGCATGAGCCACCATGCCCAGCCCAAAAATCTCTTAAAATGGTAGCTTAGGAGCCTGGCTCCTCCCTCCTACTGGATCGTGACCCCTTCCAGGAAGCCCTCCCACGGGCCCATACCCTTTTTTTCTGGTTCTCTGGTGCTGGCTACCCAGGGCCCTCTGCTTCAACCACCCTGAAGGCTCTCCCCAGCCAGCCCTCCTCAAACCCACTGCTGGCCCCTTGACCCCGGCTGGTTCCTGCTTACCTCGTAGTCCACCCCGACTCGGTTCAGGGCGATGTTGATGGTAAAGGTGGAGGCATCATGGTGTGGCATCAGTGAGGGCTGTTCATCAGGCTTGTAGCGGACGACAAAGGCCAGTTCAAACTGGGCCTGTACCAAGGCAGGGGGACAAGAGAGCCCATGTTAGTCAAGGAGGCCACAAAGGCCAGGAGAGGAGGGTGCACAAACGGGGTTCGTTTGGTCGCTGCAGGTCAGCTCACAGTGGGCAAGTCTGCATGAGGCTGTGTGCTTCAGTGCCTGCAACTGCTTGACACAGAAAAGTTCTCAATAAAAATGTTGGACAGAGGAGAGAGAGGGAAGGAGAGGAAAGGAGGAGGGGGAGGGGGAGGAAGGAAGGAAGGAAGGGAGGGAGAGAGAAACAAAAGGGAAGGAGTCCAGGCACGGTGGCTCATGCCTATAATTCCAGCACTTTGGGAAGCTGAGGTGGGTGGATCACGAGGTCAGGAGTTCAAGACCAGCCTGGCCAAGATGGTGAAACCCCGTCTCTACTAAAAATACAAAAAATTAGCTGGGCATGGTGGCGCGTGCCTGTAATCCCAGCTACTCAGGAGGCTGGGGCAGAAGAATTGCCTGAACCCAGGAGGCGGAGGTTGCGGTGAGCCGAGATCACGCCATTGCACTCCAGCCTGGGTAAGAAGAGCGAAACTCCATCTCAAAAAAAAAAAAAA